TAGTAGTAGTAGTAGTAGTATTACTGCTACTGCTACTGCTGCTACTGCTACTGCTACTGCTACCGCTACGACGACGACGACGACGACGACGACAGTGCTTTTACAACTTGCGGTGTGCAGGTGGGGCTCAAGAGTGCATGTCGTACAAGACAGGATGACCGCACATGCGTGACTGCTTTGCAACAGCCGGCAAGCCGGCGCCATGGAAGTGAACCTTCAAGCCTCTCGCCCTCCAGCTCTGGCGAAGCTACACAGCCGAGCTGTTCAGTCTCAAATCGGCAGAGAAAGGCTGGGAGGCCTTCCGAGCCTACTGGGCACCGGTGCTTTGTGTGGGGGCCTTTGGAGGCTGGGAGCTGTTGCGACCCAGAGCGGACATGGCAGTAGAAGGCCTCGCGCTGTGAGGACGGTCACCTGGATGCAGTGTGGCTGCGCCTATATCCCCGACCTTCTGCCAGAAGAGTCCTTCAGGGACGTCGTGAAAGAATACCAGAGTCTTCGCGATCGTCTTGCTGACGAGGGTCCTTGCGTCGCGAAGGGACGGAGGGTCATAGCGATCTCGGAAGGGAGCGGAAGCGGAAGCGCCGCCTGGCGGCTCTTTCAGTCCTATTGGCTCCGGCTCCGAATTCAGAGAGAAGCCAGGTTGAGGTTTTTGCCGCTTCTCCCAAAGGTTTCGGACTGCCCGCTGGAATATCGGGAGTATCGAGAAGGCTCTTCCATGCTCTGGCACAAAGATACGGTTCTCACCGAGCCACCGCAGCTGGAGCTGGTCTACACCTTAGAGAATACCTCTGATTCTGTTACACGCTGGGCAACGAGCCACTTGGATGTCTTGAACCGGAGGGTTCAGGAAGTCTGGACAGCTCCAAACTCTGCGTTGCTTGTACAGGCAGGGTGAAATGCTCGCTTTGCACTTGGTGCTCTGTTCTTTTTGAGATTTCTTATCAATCCTGGCCCAATAGGACAGAGTTCTTGTGTGCTTTGCCCTGCCCAGGCGGGTGGCCCTGTGCACATGGTACGCGAGCTGAAGACTGGCCACCGTGTGATCCTGAAGGCCGTGCTGCTGCCAAAGCCCATCGGCAGTGGCCCGCTCTATGCTGCACCGACAGCTCGCTGGTTTGAGAACCTTACCAGATGTAACAAATTCAGGATGGGATCGAGGCCTGAGATGTCGCCGGCAGAAGAACTGCCCCGACCAGTGCATGGTGGAGGAGGCTGAGCGAGCTGCATCACGAAGTTCATTCGAACCTGGCCCGGAGAATGCAAACGCTTTGATGCGACTCTCTTGACAACCCTGGACTTCCGTTTCTAGGCCTGGGACACTGGTCATGCGACTCGCAGAAAAGTGACGTCCCTTCTGTGGCGGTCTCTCGAACCGCAGCCGCCGAGTTCGTGAAGCCTCTTCCTAAACAGTTGCAGGTCATTCGGATCGCGAAGGTCCTGCTCTTCGGCCAGAGCCCAAAAGCCCAAAACTCTGGGCAGAGGCTTACAAAGTCTTTATTCTCGAAGTTCAGCTCCCAAGCTCCTTCGTCAGGTTTGGCAGCCTTCTGTCTTTGCTGGACTCTCGCCAACTGGCCGCCCATGAGCTTGCTGGACCAGGCAAGCTGCACCCTTGCATTCATCTAGCGGCTACTAGCGCTGCGAGCAGCCCAGTACCACCTACCCCCACTCTAGTTTGCGGAGTCTGACACTCACGCCTTAGAGTCTCCAGCATGGTTTGCCGTGAAACGACGACGCACATCTCATCGAACCCCTCTGCAGTCCTTCTAGGTGCCCTGGTGCTGGGCGAGGGAGGTGAGCAATGAGACCCTCTTTGGGGATGGAGGATTCCATTGCGCTTGGCCCTTGGCTGCGGGGGATTCTGAACTCTAGCAACCGCGCAAATATCGCCTGATTTCTCTCCTGGAGCTAGTTGAGCTTGAAACGCTTGCGCTCTGGACTGCTGTGCCAGTCAATCCTCATAGCTGCCTCCTCTGGGGGTGCTGTACCGTCGTAGAGTATTCGCGAAGCCGACTGCCGGACCGAAGGTGCGATGTGACGGGCCGGACTGCATCGCACGGCCAGGGCCTCGGGTGCCAGCACTGGCCCATTTCGACGGTTTGCATCACAGGTGGGCACTCGACCCAAGCATACCTCCCAGGTGGTCACCGCCCCTGCAGAACGAGTCGTACTTAGTAAATCCAAAGCCGAGCTCTCAGCTTTGGTGTTCAGGAATAACGGCACTCCACAGTTAGCACATTTGCAGGGGCATGTCAAGATTCACACGTGATGTTTCCGTTTGAGTGCACATGCAGGACTGCACAAGTCTTGCCTTCCCTCCTGGAGTTTCAAGGGAACATGCAGACGTGCATGCATACCTAGATAGCTGCGTATGTGCAGCAGCATGACTTGGGAGCGAACATACCAAACACAATGCGATTACGCATTACATGCATACATGCGTGAAGGTATGGTGTGCAACATGCACGACAGGCGGACAGACAGGCACACATACGCGCACACACACACACAAACGCAGAGACAGACTGAGAGACAGAGACTGTCCTAAGTGACGCAGCTGTGTGAAGGGGTCGCCGTTCTTAGCAGAGGGATGGCTCTGGGGTCTTCTGAGGAACGGATGGCTAGCCGCCCCAACATGGAGAGGAACACACGGACGCGAACTGGGAGAGCACGCTTTACACTAGGGACCTCTGCCCCGTGCCGGAAGCAAGCAAGCAAGCAAGGCAGAGACAGAGCGACGGCTTCGGGCCTGCAAGAGAAAGATGGCTTCGACGAGGGTTTCATTTCAGACCGTTCGTGACAGCGCCGGTAATTCCAATGCATGCATTGCTGTGGCCCATGCTGGCGGCCAGCAATTTCTTTTCCCAACCTACCGGTCCAAAGCCGCTTCTGTCTGAAAGTTCGATCCCTAGCTTGCCATGCCCATGACCAGCCTGGACGTAGCCTGTCTTGGTTGAGCGCCTTTTCACTGGACAATACATCAAGCTACCGGCTTGACCTAAAAATGCTGGGGTCGTCAAGCTGGCGTTTCAGACAACATGTTCAAGTCAGCTTGCCAGCTACCCCTAGCAATCACAGAGCATGTTGGTAATTGTTTTTTCACGTACGTGCAAAGAAGAACTTCATGGCAAATCGCTTCGCTTCATGCTGGTAGCGCGTCAGGCTGTGCGAGTTGGCCACATGCATCCAGGTGTGCTCAAAGTCTGGTCGAGTCTCTGGATAGTCGGTTAAATCTGACATGTGACGAGGGCCTTCTGGCCTTCAGGATCATCAGGGGTGATGCTGCGATTGTGTAGACCCTTGCGGCACTTGCGTTAAATTGGAACCTGCAGTCGTTGTTGCTGTGATGCTAGACTCGCTAGATCCGCCGGCCCAAAGAGTCGTGAAGCTCGGAAGATTTGCTCTGTGCGGGAAAGGAGGCCAAGCCTTCTCCGTCCCTCTTAGGTCTTGCAGCAGCTGGGCCGTCAGCGAGCGCTGAAGCTGCGCAGCTAAGTGCGTGCCTCGTCTTCGCTTGCGTTTCGTGTCGTCCTTTGTACCGTGGAACTTGGATCGGGTTGGACCCTTGGGCAGCTTGAGGCCACCCCATGTTCAGGGCTTAAAGCATGTTTTTCATCTCTCAGGTTGCGCACGAACTTCAGTGCCTGAAAGTTCGTCTCACCCCGTAGTTTCATTTCGAAACCAGCCATCGTCTTCCAAGCTCAAGTCATACTTTGCAACCCTGCTCCTAAGCCTAAGCTTCAATCCCGATGCAGCGCCCTGTCAATTGAAGTTTCTGAATTCGGCTTATATAACCCTAAACCCTAAAGCCTAAACCCTAAACCGTTTCACCTGGCACTTGCGGCCGAAGCCCGCCATGTGCCCCTTACGTTAACGGGACAAAAGGTGGCAGGATTTCCGTGAGCTTTTAGACTTTCAGCCGTGGTGCCTTAGGCACAGGAGAATGTTAGATCTCCGCGTTACCTTCAAGAACTCTTGACTAACAGCACAGTTGAAGGACCAAGGACGCAGCTGTCCACGTGTTGGGGCCCGAAGACCAGTGTGCTGACCAACCCGATCCGTGCCATCAAGAGGCTCGAAGAAACATCCTGAAAGAGAGATTTTTGAGGCAGACTTCGTGCAGCAATCCGAACTGCTACACTTGTCCTTCTGGCGTGTTGTGAGTTTTGCTTGGAAGATCCCTGACCTGGGATGGCCATGCTCGGAATGCGCCTCATCCCCAATGGGAAATCCCGGCTCACGATGGACGAGGCATCCTTGGAGGGGGAGCTCTTTCTTTTCTAGATACTTCTCATCGTGAGGGTTTGGGGATGGCCAGGACACTACAGTGCTCGAATCTTCGCCGCCCAAGCCTCCAAGACACGCCGCAGTCCGCTCTCCGGGCATGCAGGTGGATGGCCACAAAACCCCCGTCCTCAACTTGGAGCTCAAGCTGCAACTGCCCGTGTTGAACCTCCTGGAGGTGTCCGGGACAACTGGCTGGGGTGGAGGGTTTAAGTCGCTAATTCGTGCCAAGGAAATCCGTGAGGTTGGCAACAGCTTTGTCTGTGTGATTGGTCCAGATGGCATGGATGGCATGAATTGCAGGTTTTTTCGATTTCCCGGATGCAGTGACTACAGTTTGTCACAGGATTCCTAAAGCCTAGGTGTTGGGCCAGAATTTCATCCCGGCTATGCTTGACCCGCAGACGGTGGGTGGCAAGGCAGAGGACGAGCTGTGGCTACAGTTGATTTCCCCCAGATAGACAGGTTGAGGCACCCCGTTGCTGGATGCTTGCTGTGTCGGCTTGCCTAAAATTTGCTCTGGAGGACCAAAGCACAAAAGAGGCTGAGAAGCCCGATCAGTCCGAGAGCAGACCTGCCTCATCCGACCCAGACGACCTCTCGGACGACAACTCTCCGATCGAAGCGAACCCACTCTGGACTGACGACGACAGCCAGGATGTCGCGAAGATTTGGGAATGTGAGCAGCCGCGGGAACATGCAGACGTCGCTGGCTGGCAGTGTCTGGGGAGCACAGTTTGTTTCACGTGTTTTTGCCCTTTAACCTTCATTTGTCACACAGCTGGGCGGATTCCAAAGCAGCCCATTGGTTCGTGGCTACTGCCGGGCTCATTGGGTCTGGCTCTCTCTCGCTCTCTCGTCTCTCCCTTTCTTTGCAGCTCAGGCCACTTCCAAGCTCCAAGCAGGTGGTCTCGGGAGACTTGGTTAGATTGGCGAAGGCGCGAAGTGCTAAGCACGACTCCGTTGACATGCCAATGGACGGCTCAACGGGCTCAAGTGGTTCCGCAGACGGAAGGATGTGGCTAGAGGTGGTTGATCAGCTGCAGCAAATGTGCCGGAGCATCGTCTCTTCCCAACACTTTCATGTCCATTTGTTGCAGTCGCAGAACAAAATGACAGACAAGATGCGCGACTTCACACTCTCCCTTGGAGACCGAATGCAGAACCTCTCCATTAACATGAAGTCACAGACAGCCGGCTTGGCACAGCGACTCGAAGCTCTGGCACAAAGCGTGTCCTCATTGGAAACCAATCGAAGCCAAGACGCGGCTTGGCCTCGAGCTGGCGGCCCTGTGGGAGCAGCGCCGCGTGCGGGTCCAGGGAGGCGATGATCGTTGCGGTCCGTGGACATCCTGCAGACATCCGTGAGTCGAAAGGTTTCAGCCATGTCGTGTCAGACTGGCTGCGGGACAAGAGAGATCCCATTTTCGATATTTTCAAGCCGCACCCACCAGAAGCAACGGTACATCTGTCGAGAAAAGGGCTGTCTCGCTGTGTCCGCAGGCGGGGATGGTGATGCCACGCGGGTCACTTCGATAAAACTTGAGCCAGAGAAAACTCCTCTCACGGGTTCACCAACTCTTTCTTTTGGAAACTGCGCTTCTCCACGTTTCTCTGTAACGGCAGGCAGCCCCTCTCCAAGGCTCCTTAGGGCTGCCCGACTCGCAGCTTTGAATCGTTGCTTTTGGAGAGTACCCACCTGTGGCATGCGAATATCACACATCTACAGATGGCCACACGTCCCTTCACGGCAAGCTCCCAAACCTCCAACTCGAAAATCCGGAAGCCTTGAAAGATAAGCTGTTGCTTTCTTATCGAGCGCAAGGACCCATCATGCCTGTAAACATCCCAGGGTTGCAACACGGCTAGCAACGTTCCTGCTAATTTGAATCTTGCGTGTGAGGAGTTGGTGCGCCTGGACGTGGTAGGTACAGTGGGTGAGGAAAGCAAGAGAAGAAACATCAAAAGTTTTGTGGTGACTGTCTGGTTTTGTTCACGGTAAAGATGAGCTCGAATGGGTTGCAACATCGGGGTCAGCTCGTCTAAGCGACACGATGTGTCCATGTTCATGACGTCAGACAGGTCCCAGCTGGTCTAGTTTAAGTGCCGCAGCCGGGGACAGTGGTGGACAAGGAAGCCAGGACAACACGGTGCTACACTAGACAAATCCGAAGCTCGGGCAGCGCACGCCGCTGGAGAGGTGGGCACCCGAAGCAGCCACCTCCGCCTGCTTGTGCGTGCACGCGTTGCGGGTATGCCCTGCAGCAAGGCGGGCTGCTTGGCCCCGACCCGCCTTCCTGCATTGGGCCGCTTGTCCTGGGCCGAAACGGGACGGGATACCTGAGAGACGGCCCCGAGTTCTTGGGCCGTAGTCTGCAGTTGAAGACCCCAAAACGGAGGCGGCCTTGGCTGTGTTAAGTAAGAGAGCTGCTGGACTTATTGACATATTGTCTGCCTTGTATTGTGAGTGAGGCACTGGCACACCAAAAGCAAGGGAATGTCTCCATAGGAGAGCAACCAAACCTTCATCTGGTGGAGATGTGACCCTGGTTGGCCACAGGACGAGGAAGGAGGGGAAAACACACTTCCTATCTCACTTCGAGCAGAACACTGCGGGGCGGCAGCATCGTAGACAGCACCCGGATTGAGCCGAAGGCTCGCTCCATGCACTGCACGACAGTGTTCGTTTGCCATAAAGCTCATTCCCGGCAAGCCAGGATGGGAGCTTATTTCGCTAGAATCTTCCGACTAGGTAAACTGTGTCCTCCACTGTCGCGAAGGGGTCCTCGTTTTACCTTCTGCCTGTGCAGGCACCGACAGACATACTGACTGCATACCCAGTGAGACAGCCGAACGCTGATCGGCGAGAAGTTGATCTGGGCAGGCGGTTTACAGTGAGCGCTTCGGCGTCATAGGGCTCCGCCAGCACATCGCTTAGTGGTGGCTCCCTGAGCCGCGACGGCGACCATGCGCTGGTGCTTCCCTGCCTCGTGCGCGAAGGCAACACTCAGGATCCGCCAGATCTTGCCAGTCGCCTGCGTGTGCGTGAGGGGCAAGACTCGCCGGCCCTGGCAGAGCACGGGCCTTGACAGGACTACCCACGGCCCAAAATTTCGACATCCGAGCACATCATCCGGCTACTGAGACTGTCTCCTTCCGCTGCCTATCGGGGCCCTCCAAGCACGCGTGTTACATGAACGTTGACGTGCAGATGGCCGTAGACACCATGCATCACCGATGCCAATCCAATAGCCGGCGCCGTCCTTGACTGCCATTGTCGTAACACGTGAGGCATATTATGGCATGAGCAAAGGACTTTGCCCAAACAGCGCCACCATGCCGAGAATAGTATCAGCAGATATTACGTCAGAGCATGCGGATTTGTTCCGTAATTGCTGAAGAATGCCAGCACCAAGAAATGCAAAAGCGAGTCCTGAGGCAAGCTGTTGGCGTCTTAGTCTGCAGTTGCTCATGGGCTGGCACCCCAGAACATTCATCGACCCAACACGAATGCGTGTCGAGGCAACCCTCAATGCCAGGTGCGTGTATTGGACAGGGAGGCCGCAGCATCGGAGGGAACGGTGGCTAGCCAAACCCCGATCCGGACCAGCCTCTTGGCGGATAATGTGCAGGACCCAGCGTCCTCATCATCCGCAAAAATAACAAGGGATCCGCCATGCGGCTTGCTGCTTGCTGACGGCACAGCATTGTCTTCTTATTTGGGGTTTTGTGTTGATTCTGGAGCGGTCGTCTTCGAAACAGCGTCCGAACCTTGTATTGCCGTCTGGCCGATTGTTGCATGGCTGGTTCGCTCCGAGTCGTCAGCATTGATAGAGTCTGATAGAACAGACCTTGAGACGGGAGTAACTGCAAAAGGTAATCGATGGTGGAAACAAGGTTTGAGCCTGCGACTCCCCAAGCGGGAGCCACGAAGCCAGCGTGCCGGTTCCGACCGTCGTGGCCCATCGAAGTCGTACCGGTGTTGCTGGCATGGCGCACGGCAAGCGACTCATGCCAACATCGGCAGCCCCGTCACGAGAACAGGTGATGCCAGGGCAGGACTATGGCCTTCCAGGCTTACATCACGAAGTGGGTCGCGCGATTGGGTTTTGTGTGGGCTGTTGCTGCGCAGCGCTGTGGCCAAGCTCCCTGGTGGATGATGATGATGATGATGATGATGATGATGTCGATGGTGCC